TTATTATGTTATATATATACAGGGAATATATATATATATATATATATATATATATTATATATTATATATGTATATATATATATATCATAATAAAAATATATATATACATGCATATATATACAATATCCAAATATGTATATATAGATAATATATATACATATATATTTCATGTCCATATACATACAATATCCAAATATGTATATATAGATATCTCGAATCTCAAATCTCAAATCTACAGAGATTCTCTGTAGTTTGTATTTACATTTGCATTTAGGCGATTATTTATCATATTTTGTTATTTAGTTATTTCCATCAAAAATTTACATCTCTTGAGTACTGAGTAGAGCACCATACCATTTTCTATTGGCGCTGATTTGAATCTTCGGGTGGCACTTTATTGTCTATTTGCAAATGGTTTTTTTAATCAACCATTTACAACCTACATTTTCATTGGTTGTAAGATTTTTTTACTAGACATGTATCCAAGGGGCACTTTTTATTATGTGACTGTCACGCATATTACTAATCTATTATGCTGCATTCAACACGCGGGATCAGATTTATATATGTAACTGAAAGGCTGCTCACGACGATCGACTGGGGTATTACATAAGATGACGTCCAGCGTTTTAATCCACCGGCGTCAGTAGGATGGCAGATAGCACACGGACTGGGAAAGCTATATAAATAGAGTTGCGGTTGACCATTCTAGTAGTGTATACACCTCAGCGACACACGGTCTTATTCAATTAACATGCATGCGATATCTTCTTTCTGATTATACGCGCACCTATCCTTTGTAGTGGCGGCATCGCTTGACACACCTATATGCAGTACTCCAGCAGAGTGCAAGGACCATATGGAAAACAAAGAGTATTGTGATGTTGATGAATGTCTATTCGGTAGGTTTACAGATTATTTTGATTCTACCACACTAGCCAGAAAAGAAAGTGATTATGCTTGGAGTTCAAATCATGAATTCCTACTGGAACTTTTGCTCATCCGAATGAATGAAACGTTGCTTGCCGAGGATAGAAAGCAATTGGTACTGGACTCGCTTGGGCTGATTAAGAAATTCGGCAGCTATGCAGAGTAATATGTGTTTGACACATGCAGGAATCCGCCTTTGAGTAACAGGACCTATAAATTCAATTTAGGTATTCTTTTACCCATAGCCCGTACATGGAGCTCGATCCTTTACTTGGATCACAACATTTCGGTGCCGCATGAAGTAATGAATAACGTAACTAAAGACTTTGCAGCGGCGACGGGTGGGTGCAACTCAACTCTTGGCGATGGTAGCAGTTACAACAGTATGTTTGAAAACGTAAACAGTACCAACGACTTTGGCTGCTCGAATGACTTCATCCAAGCCTGGAGCCTTTTGGGAAAAACTGGAACTCGCTACGATACTTTTAAAGTGTTCAGGCTTTTGAAAAATCACTCCGACCCGATTGAGCTACCGTGGTCGCGAGCGGCATTGTGGGCAGGACAGAATGTAAATCCCATGAATACTTTTGATGGAGTTTCGCACAATGGTCTGGCAAAGCATTTCCCCGAGTTTATCGTCAGAAATTTGTCTTTGGACGAAACAAACCTGGCAGGTTTGGAGTACTTTAGTCTAATCGATATGTTTGCTACAAATACAACAACCAATTACCCATCGCCAACGTCATCTCTACCGCCAACATATCCCTATCGCCAACGCCGTCGCAGTCGCCAAATTCTCCATCGCAATGCAACGGAAGCGGCATTCATACTCCGTATTCGCTTTATGAATACAAATGGTATTCGTGTATGCATATTAAAAGTTGTACATTCAGGAAAGACAAACTTCGACATTAGAGTAAAAAATAAGCGAGTACAATGGTTTATTAAATTTAGTTACTATATAGATTCTCGTAGTCGGCCAAACACTAATCAAATCGCAAGCTGCCGGTCGCGAGCCCAAAATGATAGCTGTAGACTAAAGTATATCTGCATTTAACAACCTTTACACAATAGCGTACAGAAATACATATATATATATATCTATATCTATATATATATATATATATATTTATATATATATATATATATATATATATATATATATATATATATATATGTATATATATATATATATATATATATATATATATATATATATATATATATA